GAAGCTTAGGCCAACTCGGAAATGGGCTATAAGGATCTAAACCGACTATATTAAGGTGTGGTACAATACATTTCATTTGGTCCAAAATAACTATAATTCTAACTTAGCTTTGCTGATATCTCTATAAATTTCATTTTAAATAACCATGATTGGGATAGGGCTCTTGAAATCTTTGAGCCTTGCAAATTTTTATTGGACAAAAGGAGCTATGAAGTTTAGCTTAAAAAGTCGCTTCCACTGAAAAAAAAAACGGTGTGTGTATGCTTATACACTCGATAGAGATTCCAAGGGATATCTTACACATCCATATGCAATTTACTAATCTCGATTCAACAATACGCCCGCTTCCACTTTGCCGTATAATTTATTTATCTTTCTATAATTCTAGGGGCAGCAACAGCCTTGAACAACATTGAGAAAAAGCTTGGTGTTATTCATACCATCAACGCTTCCAGAATACTTCGCTCAAGGATTCCACAATTTCCAAAACTCAACGACGTCGCTCTTTACAAGCAAGTACTGGCGACGAACGCCATCTTGACGAAGCTCGACGGAGCCAAAGCCTTGGCGGTATATCGCGCTGAGAAGCGTTTTCACAACGAAGAGGAGATGGGAAGCTCTATTGAGGAAGAAGTGGATTCACTGAGAGATGAGCTAGCCTCAGCGGAGGAGGATCTCAGTGAAGAGACGGATAAAGAATTGGAAGATGAGAGAGAGGCACAGGAGAAGATACAGGAGGCCATGGAAAGGAACAAACTTGTCGCTAAGAAGACGGCATTTGCTTTAACTGCTATTGAAAACTACTTGGAGAAACTTCAATCAGACGAGAGCAAACTTAAGCGGTTGAGATTTTAAACGTCTCTAAGCTCACGTTTCATAAATCTGCAGAAAGTCTAGCTTTTCACTTTCAAGGTAGAACTTTATCACTAAATTGTCCGGGCATCCTGACAGGCGTAAAGATTTTCCCAAACTCGGTACTTTCTTCTGTTTATCGGATGCAAGATTTACTTCAACTAGTTAGGTGAAAAAACAAATGCAAACGTAACAGGTTGACTTGTCACTATTCAGGCGCTTGCCACAGGTTACTTGTTTCAGTGCGAGAGATTTATTCAACAACCCGACCGAAAATTAATGCTCTGAGCCATGGTAACTTTGGTGTTCGTTTTGACGACCATGGGCCGAAAAATCGCTAGTGTTATTCTGTTCAGACAGTGGTCGTTAAGGGTGGAGGGTGCTTTATTTCATAACTATATACATATCTACATCGCAAATTCTAAAAAATAAAAATGCTTGGTGAACGAATAAATCAAACAAAGTATTTATGTCGAGTGTTTGCCGTACTTGAATACTTCACAAGTTGTCAACATCGTAACCGGCATCTCGTGTTGTCGCAGCCTTTTCCATGTTTCTGAAATATATCCATGGCCTCAATTACTATAACCCAGGATGTCCAAAGAGTAAATGGAATTTCATTTTCTTCTAGTAAAATCAAGGATGCAGGAATACTGTCGTGAAATTCAAACAAATTCCACGGACTAACACTATAAAAATTGTACCGAGAAGCAAGAAATAACGAGCTGTTCTGAACTTGGGCTTCAATGGCTGAATTGTCCCGAGATGCTTAATGAACTTGTTTGCTTTTCAAGCAAATCATTTATCTTTTTGAAGCTTCAGAACATATTTCACGAACGCACAAAATTTAATTTACTGGCTGTTAATCTATGTAATGCGTATGAATAAACTGTTTTTAAAATATGCGTCTGCGTGTACTATGATACAGTTATAGATTACATCTTTCATATTCATATTCGATTGGGTGATTAAACGTACGGTTCAGTTCAAACATCAATAGATATATTTATGTACATGTATACGTGTGTCTCTTAGAAGCGACAAAGGTTCCCTGACCCTTTCAATTGTACCATTGTATTCCCAATCCAACGAATAGCTATCCTCACAAAATGTCTTAACTGCGTCTTATGAGACAGCCGTGATCATTCAGTGTAGCAACAGGAAATCAATGAAGAGAAAGTTAGCCAGTTCAAAGAAAGCCATTAAAATGCCTAGATTTCCAGCTAGATTCGAACTGCAACACCGAATACTCTAAACCAGGAAACCCAAGAAAGACGCCAGAGTTCTTTATATCTGCTTACGTTTCTTCCTAGATCACTTCTTAAAGCACCAATCTGCAGTGCACATGTTATTGTGTTATGCAGGTTCAAACAAACATTTTTGGGTATTCATCCTCTGATTTCGCTACTGTATGTTGAAAATTACATGGTAAAGATAGCTATTCTTTGGATGGAAAAAAAAGAAAAATCAGTCCTTAAAGAATGGATGTTCCAGCGCTTCTGCTGCAGTGATTCGAGTGTGCGGGTTCAAATCAAGACATCGCTCTAGAAGTTCATAAGCACTGTCCTCGATAGCCCAGCAACATGTGGAACAGGTACTGCCACATTCACTGCCATCCACATGAATGTGCCCAACAATGTCTGAGTGCTCCGATTGTCCGCAAGTCTTATCATTGGGTTCTGCGTCCATCTGAAGTGTCATACATAAATAAGGATTTCGTTTTTGACAGATTGTGCAGCGTTGATGCCAAGGATTTGAAGCCGGATGTGTCTGAGGGCAGGGTGGAGATCTTGGTTTTCTTTTGAGTCTTTTGGCAGGCACGGATTGTTCTTCATCTTCCCTGTTTGATTGTTTTAAACAGCATTTAACGGTCGGTGCCTTGCTAGCGCGACTACGTAATCTGGTGCAAAGAATTTTGAGATTTCCTGAAGGACAGTCCGAGCTAAAGTTGAGGTCCTTGCCTGTGAAAAAAGCGTCCATTAAGGTGTTAGTGAACAAGAAAACGTGTAACAGGTGTAACACATCAAGAATAGAATAGATACCTGTCAAGAATTTTACAACCAAAAACAGTGCTACATGTAGTTCTCCTACGTTAAAAATCCTTACCAAGCTTGAAAGCTGCTTTAGCAGCTGCACCAGTTCCACACAAAGACATGATCTGCGCCAAGCTTGTCATATCGTCATACGCTCTGAAAAACGGGTACCTTCCACTAAGTATACAAAGAAAGATGACCCCAGCTGACCACATGTCCACAGCAGGTGACTGTTGAGGGTACTTGAGGAGCACTTCTGGAGAGCGAAATCCTGGCGTTCCCGCTCGTGGAGTGTTTTGATGGCCTCTACATCATACAAAAAAGTAAGAACGTGTCAGTGAAGTGTAGGATAGGACTGTAAAAGAAAATTTACTTGATCCCAATCAGATTAAAATAAAGTGTAATTTTAGAGATTTGATTTATAGGTGTATTTTAGCATACATGGTCTGGATGTTTTCCTAACAAACCGTTACCCGATAATTGTATGTATGACGTTGTCTTGTGCTTACCATGTAGATCCAATTTTAAATCAGAGTGACATCGATAATTTCATTAACCCCTTACAAGATCAGTACATCATCAAGCTCACGGGTGATGGTTTTAAAATAATCAATGGAGAGATATTGTTTTATTTTGGGCAAAACATCTTGAATTCACACTTACGGTATTTGTGGCAATCAGTTCTACATGTACCTTGATTTGAGATCACTTGTATGACTGTAAAGGAAAGAATTTACTGAAAGGGAAATGAAAGTTAAAGGATTACAACAACAACGTTAAGCTACCTGGCCATACAAATGGTGCACACATCTTTAGGACCATGTCTCAGAGGGCACAGCACTTGAGCCGGCTTGAACAAGCCCTCCTTAGATTTTGTATTCTCATGAGAGGTCCCTCTCAACTTAGACGTTGCATTATTGGCAGGAACTTTGAAGCCTTTAGCCTGATGTGTAAACTGCCAGTTAGCTGTGTTTACACAGCGCGGCTTCAGGACACATTCCTCTTTACTTGCTGATTGGTCTTTATTGTCAGTCTGAGGAGACAGGCGTGAACTGCGACGTCTGGGCTGAGATGTTCTTTTAGGAGATTGCTGGCTGCCTCTTTTTTGTTTCTTTATTGGTTCTTTAGGTGAATCTGCAGGTCAGTGATATCAAGTTTTACTTCTAGATCTGGATACTCATACTCAGAACCTACAGGGATGCATGCCATAGAGCTGGACATAGATTTTAAGCTAACTTTGTTCAACTAAATAATTAAACTTAAAATATCAGTCCAGTATTAAGTGATCAATCAAGGAGAACCTGTTACCCCACTGTTTAGAAATAAAACACATCAAGTAAAGATTTACACTGAGGTTTGCTAACTGCTTAATTGTTTTCTGCTTTTCCCTATGGTTCTCTCCTATCGATATATTCAATGAAAATGAGAAGTCCTGAAAACAGGAAATTTTTCTAGACAAGACTACTCGCCCACAGCCTATTTAATACTTAACATACTAAAATCTAAAAGTAATTAAAAAATTTTCCCCAAATAAAATTATTTACTGTAGACTGCCATACTCAATATCCATTTGTTTTAGGGCTGATACTTCAAGCCCTTTTGAGGACTGCATTTTGCAGACTGGCACCCTACCAACTTGAAACAATAGCTGACACTTGCATGGATTTGCATGGAGGAGTAAATAATTCCTTTAGACTGCTAAGCTTGTTTTACTTTTCTTGCAAATTGAACAATGTGACAGATTTTTTACCAGTAAGTGTACCACCAATAGATGCATTATATATTATATATGAACATACATATTTTTACAATGTTTACATACCAAGGAGAGAATTTGTGCTCCCAGGTACCTTCATGGCAAGGCCAAAATCTACAAGTCGGTAACTAAAATAAAAGCACCAGAATTGTGTCAATAAAAAACCATGCAGAAGTACATTTTGTATATGTATGGCGAGATTAAAAATGGTTTGAGACGCTCGTACGGTTTTGCACTATTTTGAAGCTTTTGGAATATAAAGCCTGATAACTGCAAATGTAGCATGCCTTAATCAATGTCGGTTTTAGGCTAATGTAACCTCAGTTTTGCTAAGAACTGAAGTAACACTAAATGTAGGAGAAGGAAGGAGAGGGAGCTGTATGTACATGTATGATCCTATTTTCAGCCTACCATATCCACTTGACAAAGCTCAACAGTGCTTATTAAATTTTTTGGACATTTTGGTGGGGTGCTTAATTATTCAAGGACAGAACTTATAAAAAAATTCATAATAAAACTTTTCTCTTTATCCAAAAATGATAATAACAACAACCAAATATCTGTGTTACTCCCTTTTCACATAGGGTGAGTAGCCACATTATAATAGTGTAGGTACCATCACCTTAGAGCTCAGCTGGGTTTTTTGAATAAGTGCTGTATTGTTGTCTAAGAGTTCATACATGAAGCTTATTTTTGCTGTCGATTGTGCAATGCTTAGTGAGGGCAGTGCTTATAAATTCAAGTAAATACCTAGTAGTGTTTCAACAATTTCGCATCACATCATGCAATTGGCCTAATGCAGTGCATCCAGTGGCAGATGTCCAGGTTTTATCATGTGGTAGCCTGTTGACAGGCTCCCAACTGGGTTACAGGTCAAAGGAAAAAAAAAAGGTGTTTAGAGCTAGCCAAGAGCCATATGGGAAGGAACAACTAATGGGGGATGCTCTCTGAATTTTTCTTCACACTCTCACTGGCTCAGTTCACTTGCCTATTTTTTTTTGCCCTTGCTGGGAGCCTACAGGTTCACAGGCTAATCCTGTGGTGGTTTTATTGCAGATTTCTTGGCTCACCTTCCTGTTTCCCTTGAGTACAGAAAGTTGCTTGGCTTTACATCCCTATGGATGACTTGGAAAGAATGCACTCTTTTCAAAGCAATAAATAGATTCTTCATATATTCTTTGACCTCACAAACAGTCATTTCTAAAAAATACTCCTGCAAAAATAAATGAAAAGAAATTACCTGAAAATAACAAATGTAGGTTTGATTATTATATGTATGTACTGCAGTGTATGGTAAGGATAGGGGTTAGAAGACTTAAATCACCTGGTAAGCTGTGCAAGAGGGCTAGCAAAATTATATAGAAATAAAAATGTCAATACATGATTGCATCTGGGGTAAAGATTGCTGTTTTTTAAACCAAATATAGTGTGCACCATTTTACTACTGTATTGTTTAAATATTGAGTGTGTGGTCTGAAATGTTATAAAACCTGTTAAAAGAAAAGATTTTTGTACACAGAAATCATGCAATACCTGAAATTTTTGATGTGGGAAATAAGGTAAGACAAATACTATATTATCGTTGCATCTTAACGTTGATTCAACTCCGATTACATTGTCTGTGCCCCTGTAAAGAAAAAGAAACTATCATCAAAACATAATGATAATGTACTCAGATTAGTGTTTAGCATGGCACAATAACAACAGTGCAGGGTCCATCAGAACTAACATGTCTGCTTAATGGTTCCCTACAACTGAAGTTTTTTTTATTTATAGTTGTGTCTTATTACAGTTTTAAGGTTTGTGCCCCGGCCGGGGACACTGTGTTGTGTATTTTACTCACACAGTCAGTGCCCCTCTCCACCCAGGTGTATAAATGGGTACTGGTAAATTTAACTTGCAATGGACTAGCATCCCATCCAGGGACAGTGGAAATACCCCTAGTGGCTTCATGCTACTGAAACTGGAAATACCTAAGTGCCAGTCTGATGGGCCACTTGGTTTGTATGCTGACTTTGCCTACATGCATTTACAGTTTTAAGAAAAGAAAACAGTTGTGCCTTTGAACTAAATAAATTTCATGTACTTGTTACACTAAATAAGCTACATGTACTTGTACTGAATAGCCCAAGAACCGATAATTCAATAACACTTAATTCCACACGTACCCAATTTCTTGGAGGCATTTAAGCTCATTTTCAACCCTTCCAGGGCCACTGGTAGGAATGATGTGCTTCAAAGCACATAATTCATCTGGTAATCTGTTCATTTTAGCCAAGTAAACATTGCTAAAGGTTCCTGTAGAATATTAAAAGTAAGAAGATTCATGCTTGTAAAACATTTTTTCAATAACACTTCAGTATGTACCTGTATATCCTATCCCCCACGCGGGGGCAAGGAACTAAGCACTGTATATTGGTCCAAGAGATTGTAAATGTGATAAGCTCACCTTCTCCCACTTTTGACAGTAATGTGAACATATCTTCAAGTTCTGGGATCTTCTTCAGAAGTTCACCAGCCTTGCTATCTCCAAAACCTGAAAAAAAAAAAGGTTCATTCTTTTTTACTTAACCAGGGCTGTGGTCTAGCAGAGCCTGGGTGCCTCAGGTGACCAAGTTTTGTCTTTGGGCGACTTGTTTAACTTCATTCTTATGAAAGCTTGTTAAAGCTGGGCATCCAAGATTTCCTACATAAGAACCCTTGGGCACCTTGCAATTTTGCTTAGAGCACAAGCTTGCTAACATTAATTTACTGTTAAGATGTCACCTATCATGTGAAAACAAAAAAAGGTCTTCATGGGGCCTTTTTAATGTACACATTGTACATTTCAAGCTGTCATGTTATATGTACATCCCATCAGGCTATCTCTTTTTCACAGTTTGCTTATTATGTCAACTAAAGCCTTCTGTATTTTTTTCCCAACTTTAGCTGTGTTGCACAAAACCTATCCATACAGCTGAAAAGGCTAGTCTTCAAAATTAGTACCATAGATAGCCAAGTTTGTGAGTGGAATTTTGTAAAATCCCAAAATTACAACTTTGCAAAGTTGGGAACTTTATACATGCTTATATGCCGGGTGTAAATTTACAGAGATGTCTTTGAACAACCTATATTTTTTACTATTTTGCAAAACGTGACTCTCAAACTTGGCCATGCTAATTCTAATTAACAATGAGATTATGAGCTTGAGATTTCTATTGCCAATGGCTAATGAGGGCACAACCCAAGTCAACTTTCACACATGGAAATCAAAGCAAATAACCCAACTGTTTTAGCATAAATCTAATAGTCGTTCAAAACTATATCTAAATCCTCTTCACAGACACTTCAAAAAATGTAAAGAAGTGGCTGCAATTTTGTTAACAGTTGCGCACTGCTAGCTACAGTGTACTCACTATGTATAACAGAATAGACAGTGAATAGAATAGCCAAATTATGAGAAAGGCATTCGTGATAGAATGCTAGTTGATTTATACTAATAGTGTGTGAAACATTTTCATTACCTGATCAATATTTAAAATCTAAAACATGGGTCTTTGCACTCTAAAAGCACATGGTGGATGTTCATAAAAGACATCAACCATTTTACCTCATTTACCAGATTTGGCCTAGTAAACTCTCATTTTCTGGTACTTTGTTATATAAAATTACTTGTCAATCAGGTTAGTTGTCATAGTAACAATGACAGTATGGTGACTAGTATCACTATGATTTTACTGCATGTAAGCTGATGTGAAATATATAGTAACACCACTCCGTAATAATGGTTCTGCAACAGTATATGAAGTGAAAACAAAAGAACGTTTAAGTTAATGGAGTGTCAGAATGGTACAGTTTGACACCAATAAGAGTAAGTCACCGTACTCTAGTATAAAGTAATCTTTTTGTCCATCTTCATCTTTTACCCAAATATTTTAAAGCTTTACCGAAAAAGATTAACTTTCACTTGAGCGTGTATATAAGCTTAAGGTATATTTAGTCTGACGAATTTCATTGATAATGAGTTCACATGCACGTGAATAAACTAGCTTATTATTTGAGCAAAACGACTGCATTAGTGAGCTCAACAGACTACCTTCTGCCACTTTAGGTGTCGACTGTGGTGAAATACGTTTTCTTTTCTTTCTCTCACACGGCGAGCAACTGTCAGCTTGAGCGGCCGTCTTCACAGAAGTCGAATTTGCAGTGTTTTCATCTTCGGATGAACCACGGACGCTTTCGGAATCTTCTATTCCAATGCTTGCTTCGGTTCGACACTCTTCCATCGCCATTTTCGCTGAATGTGACTAGGTAGCCTTCAAAAAGTAATGAGTTGTTTGATTATTCCTCCAAACTCGTGGGTTTTGCGGGGAAAACTGTTACATTCTTGGAGAAAATGTCTCTGTGCAAAAGAATCACAACGACTTTCGAAGCTGAACCAGGCGCCGAGGGATTTACTATTCCCGCCAATTTTCCCTCCGTTGAATTGTGGGAAGCTGACAATTGTACCCTAACTGGGGGAGAATAAGGGGATACCGCTCACTCCATATGGAGTATTTTTTTAATTACATTGAAAATAAATAGAGAGGCTTTCTTAAATCTTCCAAAATTAGTTTTTTCGTTTTCCTTAAATTTGTTTTTTCGTCTTTTGAATACAAAAAATAATACAGAAATAAGGAAATATGGAATTTCTTTATGGTAGGAAAACAAGTTGCCAGCGTGGCGGTCGATATTAGAACGCTTTTGATTGGTTTATTTTCCACTCTACCAATCAGATTCTTCGTTTTATCAAATCAACACCTGGGAAGAAAGTTTTTAGGACGAAGCAGTTTCTCTATGAAAACTAAAAGGTTTTAAAATTGTAAACTAATGATTGCAGCATTACTGTAAACGTTAGATGCCCTGAAAGCTTCTCTTTATGCTCAACGTTGTATAAAATGTGATGGATGCGGAGAAAATGCTGTTCTGATCAAAAGCGAAGCGATGTTACTTCAATAACCTCTACACAGTGGAGATGGGTTGTATTTGTTTGCGATACAAGTACCATGTTTGCGGTACAAATGCATCGGTGGGCGTTACAAAATAGATCATTGAGATAAATTTCGCGGAACGAATGATTTAACTCTCGCCATGCTTGAAAGTTACATCACTCCATTGTTAATGAGCTATGTCGACAAGTACATTAAGAACTTGAAGCCATCTGACCTGAGTTTGTCATTGTGGGGGGGAGATGTTGTTCTGTACAACTTAGAATTGAGACTTGATGTCTTGGAAAAGGTAAGAAAGACAAGTGTACCGAAAGCATTTTATAAATTAATTTCTATTTATGTTAACCTGGTGTCTTTATAATACATGGATATCTAGCAAGATGACATCACGATTATATTTTTGCCTGAATTACCCTGATCATAGTGTTTACCTCCTTCAGGAGTTAAATCTGCCCATAACATTCCTCAGTGGCAAGATTCACAAGCTTCAGATTCACATCCCCTGGACAAAGTTGGGATCAGAGCCTGTTGAAATCACGATCAATACTCTGGAATGCATAGTTCAGTTGAGGTATCCTGACAGTCCCAGTGACCAAGCAAGTAAAGTCTCTGAGACTTCATCAACAATTAGTGAAACACAAAATGAAGAGCTTGAAAAGGTATTAGAAGGCAAAGAGGAAGCTCCACCCTCTGGATATGTGCAGAGTCTTGTCAACCGGGTCATCAACAATGTCTCCATTTGTGTGAATAATGTTATCCTGAAGTACCTAGAAGATGACATTGTGTTGTCATTAAACATCAAATCAGCTGAAACATTTAGTGTCAACAGTAACTGGGAGAAAGCTTTTGTTGACGTTGTTGCTCCAGACTTCTTACTGCAGAAACTTTGTAATATTTCCGATCTGACAATTTGCCTTGATAAGAGAACCTCCAGTGGAAAAATTGAGCTCTACCAAGATCCACTATTGTACAAGTGTGGCTTAAGTTGCCGTATGCTTTTGAAGTATGACAGCCTACTAAGACCACTTGAAACAAAGCTTAATGTTTACTGTGAATCTGCTGACATTTCACTGACTGATCAACAGCTTCCAATGTTTATGAGACTGGCAACGTTATGCCTCAGCCTTTATTATGGAACTCTAGATTTGCCAGGGTGCAACTACAAACCTCACCCTGCAAAAAGAATTGTTGAACAACAGGCAGTTTCCAACCCAAATCTAAGTCTACCATCCCAAACACAGGAGATACCTCCTCAGACAGGAAATCAACCAAATCCTGTGAATGACGAAGACTGGGTTAATTGGATGTGGTCTCTTGTACCTAATTTAGCCGATGACCAGGCTGTACAGCTCACCACCCCTCCACCAACACCTCTACTCATGTTTGGATTTTATGTTTCTCAAGTAACAGTCACCATTAAACTGACTGGAAGGGTCACTGAGGGAAATTTCTTCGGGGGACAACGATTTGAATTTAAGCCTGTTTTGAGTTTTGAATTCTCGGGAGGAGCCGCTGAGATTGTGATGAAAGGCGATGAATTTTTTGATGCACAGGTAGGCATATCGTCTGTCATGGGCTGGAACATTGGTGACTGTGTCTGCGGCAGTTTGGATGTATCTCCAACAAAGGAAGGAATTGAAACTGATGAAAGGGTAAGATTTGTGCTTTGAGATTTGTGCAGCATTTGATACAGATTACTCTTGACACACAAATAACATGAAGAAAGAAAATCATTGCCTAACTAGGAGATAAACATGTGCATGTACTTGATCATGTATTGACTATAGAATATGAAAGCTCATTTCTGGGGCAAAAGAAGAAAGACTAGTGGAATGAGGTTGTAGTTGATGCCCCACCAGACACTTAGAACTTGAAGTAGATGTACTAGAAGTATATGACTACCAATTTATTCGGTAGTAAGTAAAATATTTACCTATAATTTTAAGAGTTTTTGAATTCTCCCTGAATTATTTATATATACAGCACCCTGATCACATTATGTCAGGTGAATTTACCAAGAGATCACTATTGGAGAATTCTTTTGATAGCTGAAGAAATTCTAGTGACTATGCTAGTTGGCCAAGAAATCTCAGGAAACCATTAAGGAGGATTCTCATGTTGACTGTGGGGCTAAATTACCGCTTAAGAGGATTGCGCCTAGGTCTGGTGAAATCATTTTCTCGCTAATTCCTGATGTATGAAGTATAGTTCATATACGGTGGCATAGAGTTTAAGAAGAATGTTTTTAGTATTAACTGAATATGCAGGTATGGGGCTTTAATAAGAGAATGACGTGTTTTGCTTGTTGAATATTATTCTTCACTACATGTAGTTATGGTTGTTACTGTAGCTTGCATTTGTTTTTTTGATATAACTATAAGGCACTTCTTTCTTGTCTCTTGTAGGAGGACATGTTCATCACCATCATCAGTCCTAAAGAAGATTCTTCAGACTCATCAGGATTTCTGCGAGGTTCCCTGTTTGACAACACTGAAACATCCTCTCTTGAAATACCTGAACTTACATTCAACGCAGAAGAATTTGTAAAGGTGCACAATGAAGCCCTTGCTCTCAGAAGATATGGGGCGTTATTTCTCGACTACTTGTACACAATGGAAATTGAACCAGAAAGGAATTCTGAAAACGATGGTGAAAGTCAAGTAGAAGGGTTGGAAGTTGTTGGTGAAATCCGACTTGTCAAAGAGTTGTCTCTCAAAAGGATGATTGTGGGTCCAACACATGTACAGCTCTCTTCGAGTATGATGCATAGAATGGAGCTAGTTTTGAAGTTGTCATTTGAGGATATCATCCCAAGGAAAGGTGGGTATAATGTCACTCCTCAAGACTGGTTCTCTCTAACAAGGGAGTTGGAGTTGTAGTCTGAGTTGTAAGTTGAGCTTTGCAACCTAGTTGGATTGTAAGCATCAGCCATAAGCTTGACAGAATTGAAGTTGGAAGAATCAGAACATTTTCATTTTCTTCGGTTTCCACTTACAGTACTGTTGTTTATGATCCAGTGAAAACCAGATTGTCAGAGTTGGAAGCAGAAGCAAAAGAACAAACCAATCACAAAGCCCAGAATTGAGCATTGTGATTGGTTTATTCTTCTGTTTCAATCTGCCTCTGACTCAGACTATGTAGTTTTCACCAGATCATAAGTGATGGAGCTATACACAGGGCAGGAAAAAAACCCAAGTCCGATTGCATGGGGCGTGTAAATTTTGCTCTTGGGCAAGTGAAAATAGAAGTTCTGTGGCCCTGCAGGCAAGTGAAATTAGCCTCAGTAGTCTTGTGAGTCTGAATAAAAATGTCAGCTTGATAATTTCCAGTCAGAAGCTATTTCAAAACTTAAGACTGCAAGATTAGTTAACCATTAGGTTGAAAGCATGGATTAGTTAGGAATCCAAGTATACTTTGTTCCTGTTTGTCCTCTGATTTTCATGCTGGCCACCACATCGGCAAGTAATATTTAAGTGGGAGCAAGTGAAAACTGAAATTTACTGGCCCACTGGGCAAGTGGATTTCAGACTTTTTTTCCTGCCCTGCATAAGCAGAATCAGTGTTCTGCTTCTGACTCCATCAGTTTGATTTTTACTAGATTGTATTGCACTTCTGATTGACTCCTACTACAACTCCATGACTAGTAAAAAAGGCATGCCATAGCCGGTGGTGTATGCATGTTCAAGAGCAAAAGAATTTAAAGTTCAAAGATAGAAGGACTGGCTAATCCAATGTTTCTTGGCTTATCATTGTAGTTTTGGTAATTCCACCAAGAGGAGATAAATTTCATTTTTGCATTTTATTACATTTTAGAGAAATGTGAGCCATTCTATGATGAGTTTATCGAGAAGCAGCTTCTGGCAGGCAATATTCCCAGCCGTCAACTCAACATCACCTTGTTGTCTTTCTCTGCTACACTGCCAGCTGCTGATCATGGAAGGATGCTGTCAGGTCCTTCTCAGGTGCATACAAGCGGCAGCAGTTCAGAGCTACATGCTCTCTCCTCACAGCTGTCTTTGCAGAGCATTCAAGATGTTAGTAATGTTTTACCCATTGATATGATTGCTAATGCACTTACAATGTGCGACATACTCCGTGAGGTAGTACAGCTGTAACCGGACACTTTGCTCGATACCCAGTTCACCCAATGTCAGTTCGCCTGGACTGAAAGCTTTTTCGCCCAAAATGAAAGTTTGAAGAAGGATGTGCTAACTTTTCATTATTTAAAATAAACAAGCAAAAAAGGCAGCATTTTGGGCATAATGAAACAAATCTATACAAAACTGACAATTGCTCATTCCTTAATCCACTGATCATGGGGTTAGCAGTCTGGGAGAACTCACTGTCTGTCCAGAGGAACTGGATTTTGACGAACTGACTTTCTGACAAAACAACTGCAATTGTAGGCATCAAAGAGGATAGTTTAACAGGTCTTACCGTGTATGTGATCACTCTTGTGTGACCAGTCTCATGTACATGTAATGTAACTGGACACCATTACCACTTTTTGGTGACAATTTATAAAACACTCATATTAACTTTCACAAATATATTTACATTTATTATATCTCTCAGTTAGTACGCACGCTGTGATTGGTCAATTTAGTGGGCAGTACTCTCCTGTACAGCCCGCTAAAATATAAAGTTGGTTTTGTTGCTAAACTGTTTCGTTATTTATTGATAAGTGTTCTTAACTTTTATAGCAAGAGAAAGTTTAAAACTTTCTTATACTCTAAATTATGTAAAAAGCGTGCTAACGACTTAAAAACAGTTTCATACTGACTCGTTTTGCTTTCGAGGAGTGTCAGAAATTTGAAGCCTTTCCGAGTTCTCATGAATAGAAATCGTTTCCGAACCTGTCAGCCACACAGTAGAGATATAATAAATATCTTACTAACCTCATCTTCTCGGTCCGTACTGTAAGTTACGGATCCTCGTTTTTCCCCTTTGATTTATGGCCCAAGTGCGAAATGCACTCAGTCTGTAACTTACAGTATGGACCTTGAACTCGGTTAGTGAGAGGTATGTACAGGATGTTACAATCATACTTAAAGGACAAAAGCCTGTACCCATCAGACTGAATTGTAATTAATATCTGACTGTAATTTAGAGATTTAACAGGCCTACATGATGATTGCAAGTAAATGATTGATTTTCTAAAGTTGTCCTTCTCTCTAGGTGGAAGATAATGATGCAGTCCCTCAACCAGCATGCATTGTTCAGAGTAGCAGAATTGACTTTCAAAACACACAACCCATGTACCCAACAGAGCTCATTAAACTGACCATTTCCAATGCCGCGTATCCTGCTGGAAAAGTCATGCTCGCGTGTGCATACACTGAAATGTCTGCCCAGGTTGGTCATATGCTAATTTCCTTATCACTATCAATGGTGCATGCTCTACTGCTACCAGTCAGTGGAGGTTCTGAATAAACTTAAAAGATATCCTCAGAGACCCAGGGGCAGTTACATGTAGAAGGACAAGGGTAGTTTAAAACAGTGGGAAATATTAGTGAAGAAGAGCTCCCTGACTTTTCTTTACAATTCTGATTGGTTGAACTTACAAAAATGGCTTTTCTGCTTTCAGTCAGGTTTAAGGTTGTATCTCAGTGGAGTTTATTACAGACTGTAGATGTACATGTATAAAATAATGCAGAAGTAATATTTAATAGAAATATTTTCTATGAATCTTACAGTTTTTTGGCATTCAAATGAATCTATCTCAGCTTCACTCAGATGCAGCAGAGGTTCCTCTGTTCAACATCATTCCACCATTTAGTGTGGCTGGATCATCAAGAGCCTGTATTTTGCCAGAGTCTTGGTAGGTTTACTTAGGTATCTCGTAAACTAATATCTGTAGCTGCACTCTTTTGTTTGCATTGCAGACCTATGGTAGTAAATGAGTTTTGTCTTCTTATTATCTTGCAGGGGTGGAGCTGAACTCCTGAAAAAGGAAGGTAACCTTGAAGTACCTACCTGGCAGACCCTAGTTACAAAGCCTCAGTTTGTACTTCTCTCTTGTATTACTGAGTCTTGGGTTAACAGCATGACGAAAGAAGGAAAAGTGGCTTCAGTTCCCAAAGCAGTAATTGACAATGTTTTCTACCCAATTGGTGAGTAATCAATGGCTTTTAAAACCACCACAACAGTGTTTCTGTTCAGCTACTTGTACACACATGTCCACATATATGCTCCATACCTACATGTATATGTACATACACTTTGCCTGGGTGAAGGAAGACAGTGCAAGAGTGAAAAATAATTTTATATCCTCACCAAGTGCCCCTTTACTTTTTTTATAAGCAATATTCAAAATGGAGGGTAGGTGTCAATTGACAGCAAAGCAGGCAATGAGCAAGTGAGTGTGGGAAAAATGCCAGGAAAGGGGTAACCAATGTAACCTCCCATGGGTCACCCCTCCCCCCCCCCCCCCCCCCCC